GGCCATGTCACAGAAGGAGAAGCGCCCGGCGACAGCTGGGCGATCCGAATCATAATGAAATAGGCCGTATTCTAAAAAATTGTAATCGGGCGAAGTGTTCGGGGTCAATACAGGAATCCTGTCAGCGCAGTACCATTACCATAGGTTCAACCATACGCGCAGTAGTGCGCGTCAGCCAAGCTTTACAGCCGGCTAACGTTTCCGCGCCTTCGCTTCTTCAGAGCCTGTGATAAAGAAACCTGCACGAATCATCCCCTGCAAAACCTCAGCAATACTGGAGACAAATCAGACAAGATCAGCTAGCAAAACACATCACAAGTAAACTGGCTTACCTTGAGATGGTGACCAGTCCGGCTTGATTAAATGGCAAAATGAACTCTACCCCCACTTATCACCGACCTGATGTGAATGATAATCCGCAAATGTCGGCAAACGCAGCAAGCTCTCGAGTGATGGCAACATGCTCCTCCTTCCTGTTCATTTCTGGATCTTTCCAAGTGTTCCAAAGTGCCTCTAATGATTTGCGCGCTGCAATCTCGGGTTCGTGTGACAGGAGAGACACGTGTGCCAGGATAGGCCCTTAACTCGGCATTCCCATGACATTGAACTTGATGGGTTCCCAGTGGCATACGATTAGTGACCTTCGACCCATCCAATGCTCTTTTACTCGCTTGCGCAGGGACCGACCTTTCTCTAGTATGTACTGATTATCGCAAACTATGCAACTTGTCGAGTAGATTACCCCTGGTTTCACACTGTCGAAAGGGCAGACTACGCAGTCAGGGATCTCCCATAAGTAGCCGTAAAGCCGATTGCGAGCGAGGAGACAATTCAAATTGTTTGGAGGCATCTCTACCACCATAGCATCTTCCTGCAATCGGCACTTGTGCAGGTTTGCGCGAATTGTGCGGCTCACTTCTCCGAAACGAACGGAAGACAGAAGAGTATTTAACCGAAGGATACTCTGTTTATAACTCGACGGTGTCCTGAAGATCCTCTACGTATTGGACTGCACCTGGTTATCAGTTGGACATTGCGATGTTTCGGACCATGCGATTCCATTTCCAATTCAGTGTCAGAGGATACCTTGCTGGCAGTCCTGAACATACTGCTGACAACTGCTTGCTTTGTTCTCATCGGGTTTGCCAAACTATAATGGTTAGGTATGTTCTTGTTGTTCAGCTGCGGTAGCATTTCATTCTGACCATGTTTCCCATCAACTGGATTTGGATATTGAGGAATGGAAGCCAGTTCTCTACGGGCTTTTCCCTGGTAAATTTGATATTGACTGACTGCTCATTTAGAAGGTCGAAACACTTATCGATTTCGCCTTGAGTATGGCCTATTATGAGAAACCGTCAAGTAGCGGCAATAGAGAAGCAGCCCTCTGTCCTGCACTGGTTCCTCGACTCTACATGAAAGCTATGGTTGGAATGAGAATGAGTCGTTGCCCCATGGTCAGACCTCTCAAGTGTTTGTAATACTCGTCCGACCACCTGAAGATGGTCCACGACGTAAATTTGCTTACCATTAGTGTCATTTGGCGTCCTGCACTGATATGACATTCATTTTTAACGTACGGCACTGGGGTTGTGGGCGCTTTTCTGAGCTTGGAACGAGGGAATTACTCGTTCTCCTGGCTCAGCCTTTGCAGTGCGCTACATGCGGAAAATGAATGTCATATTCGTTATCGAAGACACCTATCAACCTCAAAGCATAGTAACGAATTCAGTGGAAATTCTAGGCACCAAGATCGCGCCGGCGACATTCCGCCGCCAAATAGCGCAGTCGGTAATAAAATTACATATCTGTGAACTACGTGACAAATAATAATATGATCAATATGCAAGTCTACAGCAATTTTCTGTAAGTGATGATCGCACTAAATTGGCGCGCATTGGCGCCAAGGGGCGTCGGCGTCTACAGCAGAGAAAGATGTCATATTCCTTATCAGAGCATCAGGTGGCCCTAGAATGCGAGTCTACAGCAGTTTGAATCAGTTTGAACACTACTAAAGAATTCTTTCATTCATAGATTCCTATCATAACAAAAATAATGATGCAGCGTATTCAACAACACAACACACCGCGAACAACAAAGAGATCACAACCGCAGCTTTCGCGTGAGATGATCACGAGGCTCGAAACAACTGAACCATGTGTGATCCTTGCTTAGAAATTTTCTCTACCAGCAATACTTTCAGTGCATAAATAACAAGGAGGATGAAAACATCTCAAAAATACTTCTGGTCACATTTTTCTGGCAAAACAATTACCAAAGATAAACACCCGAACATGAAAGAATATTCCAGAGTGACAAGCCACTTTTTCTAAAAGACTAGTAAAACGTCGACAGCCTTTGTATTTGAACCAAGTCGTCCATTATATGGTATCTGTAACAAGAAATCAACTGAGTACTTGAAGGGCATGGAGCCTGGCCTGGATAAGCGGATGACCAACCTGCTCGCACCAAGACTTCTAGCTAAATCCTGCTTTCGAGTTGTTGAAAGATGCATAAACTGCTCTACTAATTCGCCATCCACCATATTCTTGTTATTTGTGGCATTAATCAGAGGACGAACAGGTTTTCCTCCTCGAGCACCCTAGAGGATATTAGCGACAATAAATGCCGAGATATTACATTATGATATGTTCGATCAAAAATTACTTGAGCTCTGCATGAGATTTTCGAAACATCAAACAACAGTGACACTAATTTTCCGACACTAACTCTCGTCAACCCACACCAACGTGATGATCCACGTTTATAACTACTAAACTGCTGTAATAATGAAAAAGTCTCATTCTCCCCACCCACCTCATCGATCCCATAGTCCTTCCTATAACTCCTTCCCACGGTAGTTCCAATCCTAATGGGTGCGTTAAAGACTCTCACTCTACGAAAGCAGAATGAGCATACCTATTGTCCTTAAGTGCACCATCGAAACAGCGATGCTCAGAGTTAACCGTTACCCGCAAGTCATGAGACCAAAAATCCGCATGTCACAGAAGAACGCAGCCGTCAGGATTACGAAGACAGAGTATAGCATCGTTGAGAAGATCTCATCCGGGTCGCACTCGCGCTGGGGAGGGCCTTGGGATAACCTTTTTAGAGTCAAGAGGAAGATTTTTCCCCATTGTTAATTTTTTTCCTTTTTTACATTCGCCCACCGGTTCTTTGAGAGAAAAAAACCGGTTAAAAAGTTTTCGAACACTGTGAAGGAAATGAAAGAATTCGGTAAAGTGCTTAGAAGGTTATGAGAGGGGATTACTTCACAAGAGGAAGTTTGAGGGGCTCTTAATGACGCCGGCTTTTCTCCCGTTCTAGTGCTGCACACTGCTTGAAGATCAGGTAGACCGGACACTTCAAGCGGTTCGAGGGCCACTGAACCAGAACTATAACCGACCGGAATTTACGGAACCCAAAACTTCACGAAGCTTTGAAGAAATGGCCGCTGAAACAAAGAGAACCCAGTGTGGGTCTGCACGGAGAAAGCACGGAGAAACCATGCTACTGTACGAACAGGTCGATGATCAGTGAGAGCACGGGTGGTACACGTAGCATCAAGATGCTATGCCAAATAGAATTCCTGCGTTCTGTGTGAACGTGTCTCCACGTTATCCATCGTTTTTTTTTATTTGAAGCAAATAATTCCAGTACAATTATTCCACTGCTGCTCCAGTAATTTGGATTCAAGACAGAAAAACTTTACAAATTTCAAATCTGACGACTCTGCCTGTAAGAACCTGCACGATCGCGTTCATTTTGCATAAAAAAATGGGAGGCTGCGCGGTTTTTCTTCACCTCACCCTCTGGTGAAGCGCTTGCTACACGCTATCATGAACGGTGATCAATCCGCTAAGAATCTGAAATTTTTTGAAAAATTTGTAAAAGTCTTCCACGAACAGTTCCCGAAGATTTTTCATCCAGAGAAGATGCCATACGAAGTTCTCTGCTGTAAAGCGATATATTTCACACTTCATGAGTACGATAGAACAGGCATTGCAAGGGTGACGTACAGCATCTGCACCGAGATCCAATCCACTGAACGTAGTAGTGGTGCGAGGCAAACGGTCAAGACAACGTAAGGTGCCGCAAACTCGCGCCCGGCGAATCGTGAGCGCGGCAGCTCGAGCGATATGTTCCACAACGACAAGGAAACCGACTAGCTCAAGTCATGATCCCTCTATTTTGAACACTCCACTAGTGGAAAAAGTTGACATGTAGAATGGTATATGTTGCTGCGAACTACCCTATTGCCGCATGCGACAGGCGACGTTCCAGGCTACAGCGTGGAGAATTACGATTGTCTTGCCACATACCCATGTTGTGGCGCGTCGACTCTCTCTTCGCGTCTGCGTCTCTTTGACATTTCTATTTGACAAGTTCGCTCCGCGCCTGTATTGTCTAAACCACCATGTAGGAAATACTCTGCTAGTGGGCCCAATGCCAAATGCTTCTACCCGTAGTTTTCATCTGAGAGAGCGTAAGCAGTAGAGTAATTTACCTTTGGATTCAAACCAGCATATTGTCCGACGGAATTCGACATGCACTGATGCAAGAAGTGTAGCCGTCTAAATAATTTCCATTACAGTAGACCCAAACACAATGATCACGCCATTTTACTTCCCCGTTGTACTGAGTAGTACCTCTCATAAGGTTGAAATTCATCTGTAAATATCACACCTGAATTGCCTTTCTGAGATTGGACGAACAATTCCTAGTGAACCATCGAGCGATGCCCACAAGCACGTATGTTGCTGCACTACATTTTTTGCCTCTAGTGGTGACATATTGAACAACGACGTGTGACCTGAACAACAAAACTGTAGATAGAGGACTAAAATAAATGAAAGCGAACAGTAATTACCTTTGATTCGAAGCCATGCGTTCACATTTGTGCCAATATTTAGAATACCTCGCAGAACTAGTCGCTCTCCACCGTTTGATTCCTGGGTCTCGGGCATATAATTAAACATGCAGATATTTCCAGCTTCATCGGACATCAGGAATGCAAGATGACTGAAAAAAGTCTATCTTAGGCTAAAAATCAATTTGGTCAAGATTTTAGAAAACAGACCG